AATTAAGAAATATAACAGTAAATTTTATAATATATATAGTACTTATTTATAATAATATTTTATTAAAAATGAAACATATATAAATGTGGAGGACTATTTGATAAATAAAAAAGTTCAACTCCATTTTGGAGTAATGAGTTGGTTTACTCCATATTTGGAGTAATCATGTTTGTTACTCCATTTTGGAGTGAGTTTTGGAATAGAGTTGAAGAAGATTTTACTGCAAAATGAAGTTTGGAGTGGGTTTTAGAGTGGGGTTGGAGATGCCCTTATCGTTAACTACACGTTTTTCTTTGACATTTGATTTGTATATTACTATTTTAATTCCGGTGTTCGAATTTGGCTTTACCTTTCTGTCATTTGTCTGCTTTGTTTTCTTTTTGCTAGATGGCCGACCAAAAACAAAAGGAATTGTATATGAATAATAATATAATACGGTCTCTATTGTATCATTCAAATACTAACATGACTAATTCATTGGAAGAGTAAAATTAATACAGACAACTCATGGCACTATATAGAATAGTTAGCCATCTAAGCCGTTGCTTAGGGCCCTCTAAGATATGAGGGATATTTATATCCAAATTAATAAGGTGGGTGTGTTTATTGAATAACCTGAAGCCTCATGCACCTATAGAGAGGAATGAAGATTAGTCATCAAGTGGAGGAGATGCAATTCACGGATTAGCATTGTTAAATATAATCAAATGAGTTATGAGTAATGGATTCATATTCATATAGATACACGATAAAGTATAGTGGGATGCATTCAAATTCATGTTGTTTAACAACCTAAAGCTCACCTGTCTTCACCCATCTTCATAAGAGCTTTCTTCCTTTTCTTATATAAAAATATTATGCGACCGTCTCTTTTTCCACAGGTACAATCCATTATTCAGCAAAAATATAAGATGCAATGACATTTCATCATGAACCATGATCGATTTTTTTATGCTAAGATCCCTTGTTGCATTATCTCCACTTTTAGTTTTGTTTTTTACATATAAATTTATATTGTCCAAGACAAATTAAAGAAATGAGAAAGGTGGTGCAACACATAACCATAAACTTTTAGCTAGTATTAGTAACAATGATTATGCTTCTAAAATACAAATGTCACAAACTGTCAAGACACACAACACAAGCCAAGTGACTGTCATATCTCAAAGTAGTTCACTAGCAACCTAGTGTGTAACAAAGTCTAAAGTAGAAACTTCTAATGTCCTAAGTATAAACTCCAATTCAAGACTCTCTCTCTATTCATCAGTGTCTTTCTCAGTATCACCCAAGCTTGTGCTTCTCACTTTCTCATCTACCTCTTCTGCTTCGTCGTCTTCAGTATCCTCTGTTTCTCTCCACTTCGGCTCTTCTTCTGACTCTGAGCCCTCTCCTTCACTCTCAGTCTCTGAATTTGGATCCTGTTTCTCTTCTTCTTCCTTAGCTTCAGCCATTTTCAAGCTCTCAGCACTTTTGTTTTCGAATGGTTCTTGCTTCTCACTATTATAATATTCATCCTCGCTTTGACTGTCCTCATCTTCACTCACTTCCTGCTCTTCTCTTCTCTTTCCTTCTCTTGTTTTTTCGCTAACAACACCAGCCTTAGATCCACCTTTGCCAGACACCGCCACGTTCTTGCTTTTCTTGATTCTACAAAGATCATTTAACAACAGCAAAAGCATAAGAAGACTTTGAACTTTACACAATAATGACACACGAGCCCTTTTACTTACATGTCCAATAAAGGAGTGGAATCTGGCAGATCATCCTCCGTATCCTGCTGATCAGTAAAGGAATCAATCATTAAGCCATTGTGCTTACACTTACTTGCGGAAAAAGAAAATAGAAACTGAGTACTACCTCACTGTCAGAAGATAGATCCTCGAGAAACTCCCAGCGTTCTTTAGTGAGATTAAGCTCTTCCCTCACTCCATCAGTATATAATATCTGCCAACCAGTGTGGTTTGGTGCGAACAAACAATTCCATATAAATCAAGCTAAAGCAAATACTCATGATTCTGATAATAAGGAACAAAGATGGTTTCTCACCACATGCATCTTCTTACTACTACAATAAGACTTTATCTCCCCTTCATAAAAACTGCACAGTTGCAAAGACAATCAATGATTAGTGTACACTTAGAATCTTTCACTCTCAAAATACACTTACGTCTTGTCAAGCGGCCACCAGATATTAACTCTCTGACCGACCAAACCCTCCACAAACTCATTCGTGTAAGACTTCTGAAAAGAAGATAATACATTTATCAATCATTTGTTAACAGATATGCTAAAATCAATGGGGACAAAAGCAACTTGAGAAACCTTCTTCTTAGTATCTGTCTTAGCTGATGATTTTTTCCCTCTAGCCTTAGTTTCAGAAACAGGCTTCTTCTTCTTCTTGCTTGAGTTTCTAACTTTTCTTTCATCTTCATAGCTCTCCTGGTTTGCTTCTTCTTCCTCAAGAGAATCTGAATCATCATCACTCGCACCAGTACTACTAACCCGCCTTCGTTTAACTGAACCAGACAGAGCCGGAGGTGTTTTCTTAGCAGCCACCTTTCCAAGTGATGATGATCCTCTAACCTTTTTGTTTGAACATGTCTTCAATGAATCTCTTTTCCCTGAAAGCCAAGTAATATCATAACCTTCCTCAGGATTCATCAAAGAATTGGGTTTCCTTCCTCTCTTCCTTGTAATCTTTAAATCTTTTTCTCCAGCTATACCTTCAGACTCTACTTGCTTCACACTATTTCCCTTTCTTACTTTGTCATTCTTACTGATTCGCCCTTCTCTTGCAGGTTTCTTGGAACCCAATTTTTCCTAAGATCAAAGCTAATTAGTTAAAAGATGCTGTAACATAGAGAGTCAGAGTATCAGGACTAACCTCATTGTGGACTTTAGGAGTTTCAAAAACAGTGTGGCATATGGTGGAAACAACTTGAGAATACAAATCCAAGCTGGTCCTTGTAGACTTCAAAGCTTTCATGATGTATGGTTGAAGCTTACTACCACATCTACTAAGAACCTTCTCCGCAAGACTCCAAGCCATTGGTGAAACATTCTTAAAAAACATATCCCAAGTTAGTTTACTGTTAGAGAACTTAGCTTTTGAAACAGGGTGAAAAATAACTTTACCTGGTTTTCCTTTTTGACACTAGTTAATAGAGTATCAAGCAAATCATTGGATACTTGATCGGTTTCATCTATTACTGTAACCATTATCCTTTCCATCGATGAACGCACCACCCCAGGATGATCAAATCTAATAAATAGCAAATTCAGTATATGATCTATAAACAGTTTTTTTTTTCAGTATAGTTAGTGTGTGAGAGTTATGTTAATAATAATCATTACCTTATGGTTTTCAAGAAGATGCGAAACATTTGTAGAATGAGGTCATCACACTCCAAGTCAAGCATGACCAAGCAAGAATTGAGTCTTGAGACAGTATCAAGAACATACTCAGCTTTCACATAGCTACGAGAAGATGATGCATCAGCTAGTTTCTCAAAAGCTTCTACCGTTAACCTAAAAATCTCCTGTGGAAAGAAGCAGGTGAGATATTACAGAGAGAAAGATGAAGAGAGTGTTGTTGTTGTTGTTTACCTTCATTTGATCATCAGTGTAAGGAGCATTAGGAGAAGTTATCCTCGTGATTTCGGTTAAGCAGGAAGCAAGTGAAACCCTAACATCGGAATCAGGATGGGTCAAGAGGTGGCCTGATACCAAAGCGTTCTTGGATGGAATCAGAGCGTGTTGCATTGACAAGGGTTGATCTTGGCCCACGTCTCGAAGCAGAGACTCTGTTTCCTAGAGTTTCAATGCAAAAAAAGGATCAAGATTTGACCTAACAATGAGGTGGAAATCAATTATTTGAGATTCCCTTAACGTCAAGAAAGTGAAACCCTAATCGCATTTTGAAGAAAGACACGATTTTTTGATTGAAAAGAATCGAAGAGAAAGACGTACGTTGAGAAGAGTAAGAAGCTCTTGAGTTGAAGAAGGAGGGGTGAGGAGTTTGTTTCCTGCATCGATGAGTGCTATCTGATGGTCGGCTAATCCAACGAAAGAAGCCATTTGTGGCTTCTTCTTCTGCAAGAAGAGAAGAAGAAGAACCCTAGATAAACCCTAGAGGCACAACGATTCGAAGCCTCGTTTGGGGTCAGAGAGCAGTGAAAGGGGGATCAAATGCTGGAATAGACCAGTTGAAGGAAAAAAAATCTATAATAGACCCCTTTTTTTTTCATTAAATTTGTATTTAAAAAAAAATAGAAAAAACAGGAAAATGACCATTATCCTTATAAAAATTGATAAAATTACCAACCCAACCAGCTACAATTCGACCCAGATAGTATCATTTGGATCCGAGTCGGATCTTTTCCCAAAACCCTAATTTTTTGTTCTTCCCCCTTTTCAACCATTGATAGTTCAGTTTTTTTTCAAGTTTTTCATCTCAATTTTTTTTCCAAACAATCTCGATTCTCTTTCTTGGTTTGTATCTTCTACATCAACAATCATCATTTTCTTAATCAATTACCAATTTCTCTTTTTATTCTCCATTGATGCTTCTTCATCCAAAATTGACACTAAAAAAAATTGAAATTAGTAATCATTCTTATCTCAAATATATCAATCTTAATCATTTATGGTCAAATCCATCGACCCACCATCCTCTTCAATCAATTTTCTATGTTTTTAAACCGAACTTATTATCAATGTATGGTATTCACGACAATGAAGAACGCAGAGTATTACTAGTACAACTAGTATAACTTAAACGAATATAACTGGTACAACTAAAGTGTGTATAACTAGTATAATTGGTATAACTAGAATGCTTATAATTAGTATAACTGATACAACTAGAATATATAAATTTTAAAAACTAAGCAGTTGTTACCAATATTACTAATCTGGTAAATAAAACATAGATGTAAAAGTTATACCAATATACCATTTACGGTTTGATATATAACGTGATGAATAATTTATCATAATCAACTATTAATGTTCGATAATTTACAATTTTACCCCGTTACTTTTGCATTATGATCTTATGAAGCAAAGGATAAACGTATAAAAGATCATAATGCAGAAGTAACATGGTCAAATTGTAATTTATTGAATATTAATGGTTCAGTATGTGAATAAACCAAAAACATGCGGTTATGTCTCTTCTTCTAAACCTCAGTCGTCGATCGGCCAGAAGCCAAAAGTGATGACGGAAAGAGAAAGAGAAAGAGAGAGAGAGAGAGAGAGAGAGAGAGAGAGAGAGAGAGAGAGAGAGAGAGAGAGAGAGAGAGAGATAGACAATGGCGTCGAGATTTATGAACAGAGCCGTCTCTAGAACCGAATCCTTCTTTGCTATTAAATCCGAAGAATGCAGTAGCGAAGCTCAAAAAGACTCTCATGGAAACGGGTTTAGAAGAGTATACTACAAAAGATGATGCATAAGACATCACGAGTTTGAAAAGGACCCATAATCATTCATGTTTGGTGATTAAATTACGACAATTATAGTACAACCGGTTTCACTTGGTAGTAATAGTAGTATTACTAATTCAATTATGATAACAGTTGATTTGATTTTTTTTAACAATGATGGGTAGACTTCTCATCCCCAAAATCTATTTTCTTGATACAAACATGAAAATAAGAGACATGATGAAGTTTTCATATTTCGATATGAAAAGATGACATGCAAATGTTTGTTGTATCTCCATATTTTATTTCTAATAGCTTATGATTTTTATCAACAGAAATATACTTCCATAAAGAGAATGAAAGCATATAAGACACAAAATTAGAAGAAAAATAGATTATGTATGACCGATATAATTGATACGACTAGTACAATAAAGAGAAAAATAGGTTGATTGACATAAATAGTGCAACTAAGAGAAAAATATTTATAACTTTTGGAATATATTTTAAAAACTTATGTTGCTTTTGGTGTTAAAACGTATGTTCCTTTTGATAATAATACTTATGTTCCTATTGAAGCTAAACTTCTTTTTATGGGATAGTTTTTGAAACAATTAACAATTTATGTTCCTTCTGAAAAAATTGAGTTTAGTTAAATGGTATAACTAGGATAAAAACTCGACATTAGTGATCAATCATAATGGTATGACTATGCAACATATTTAAAAATGGTATAACTAGGATAAATACTCGAAATTAGTGTTCAGTCAGAATGTTTAAAATATGATACACTAAAATCGAAACAACTAGTTTGTAAATATAAAATAAGAACGGAAAAAATTGTAGATAGCTGTACTAGTTTTTTAGTTATATCAGTTTGTACATAGTTGTAATTTGGCAGTAAAATCAAAAAAACTAGTTGTACCACATAAAATTAAAACTTAACTTAGTTGTACCATTTCTGTATGTGTACATGACTTTGCCCCAATACATTGAAATCATCAATTTTGTTAAAACACCCTTGATGTGTATTTTCCAAAAAATATGTGGACAAAGAAATTAACAAACCTTAGAAGTATAAGGTAGATCATGCAAACTTATGTGATTGTGTTATATTTGCCAAAAAAAAAAATCATTGCATATAAAAATAAAAGTACCTAAAAACTCATTCGTTGAGGCAGCTGATTATTTTTTATCATATGCAACCCCCTATAAAATATTAAAATTTCAGAATCTACATAGTTTCACTAGTTGTACTAGTATGTTCTTCCTGGTATATATAACGTAGTTTGACTTGTTTTACCAGTATTACGATACGTAGTTATACCAGTAGTATCAGTATTACAACATAGAAACATGATTGTTATGTTATATAAAATTTCATATATGTTTATATGTTTTTGTTAAACATATGTGTTTTCCCAAAAATATGATTTTGTTAAAATGCATTTCATATATGTTTTCCCAAAAATAAGTGGACAAAGAAGTTAAAAAAATCTTAAAAGTATATGGTATATCATATAAATTTATGGAGTTGTGTAATAACTTTCAAATTTTTTTCAAAACTTCAAATATATTAGGAGAAAATTCTCTGACTACGTACCACTTTGGATATTTGACAGTGTTCTCATATGGAATACCAAATTGATTTGCCAATTTTTGAAATGTCCAAATTGTACCAGTTTTACCAATAATACTAGTCTAATATATAATAAAAATTATAACAATTATATCAATTGTTTATATGTTTAATTTTAGAAGTTGTACCAGTATTTTCATAATAATATAGCTAATTTACTTAAAAAACCTTAAAAATATAATATATATATATATAATAATAATATAAAATTAAGAGTGTAATGTAATAATTTAACAAAAAATTAAAAACTTCAAATAAAATAGATGAAATTTTGTCATCATATACCAATTAGGATATATGTTTGTTTATTTCTTATGTAAAATATGATTATTAGTCGTTTCAATTATAATAGTTACATATTGTACATGAATTATAACATTTATATACCAGTTATACTAGTTATATCATTATTTAACATGTTTAGTTATACGAGTTATATTAGTTGTACCCAGTCTTCTCTTATCATCCGACGGCTCAGATTACATCTCGCATTATCTGATCTAATGGTTCACAGTGAACTCTCATTAATGGTAAAATGGTCATTTTACACCCTTTGATCCATGGTAGATTTTTTTTGGATGTTGTAGATTAGTTTTGGGCCATATGTCCCTTAATAGATTTTTGTCCGTGAAAGGAAGGGGGAGAGAGAGGTTTTGGGGAATCAATGGCTCAGATGTCCTTCTACAAAAAAAAAATAAATCACTTATACCCTCCACTAATCTTTATACCCTTCATTATTTTATGAAAATCTCAAATAAATCATTTCAAGGTGATTAAAACTAAACAAAAACCCCCTATGGATCAGTGAACCCATGAGTAAATCTTTAAATTCTATATGTTTCAATTTTGAAAAACAAATATTTTAAAATCGTTTTGATTTTTGGAAAAATATAAAAAAACAGGTTTTTGATTTTTGAAATATTTTTATGAAATTCTATAAATTAAATAAAAATATTGACGTTTCCAGTTTAGTTTTATGATTTTTCGTTTGATATATAAAATTAAAAGAAAAAAGTGGGGACATTTGAGAAATACGAAACAGATGCAGAGACTGTACAGCCGTTTTCTCGGTTTTGGGTGGTGGTGACTTGTGAGGTGTGGTTAACATGCAAACACAACTTATATTTAACTCGAATTCATTTTAATTTGTGAAGAAAAAACAAAATCTGAATCGTGTTTTGAATCATTCATTTGTTTCCATAATTGTTTTTTTTTATAATTTTATTTTTTTCTTATTTTTGGAGGATAAAGTTGTACTCTTTCGTTTTAGCATAATACTTGTAATATACATGTTCCCGCCTTCTTTCTCTTTGGTAGCATTTGACAAGATTGAAAGTTTATTACTTGTTAGTTGTTACCAGTTCTTTTCTTTTTTGTTTTGTTTTGGTACGAGCTTTTGTTTACAAATCTCCCATATAATAGAAGCGATCTCGATTTTGACCAATCCTTTCTAGAAAGAAGCCAAGCGTTGTCAAAGACCGACAAAATGTGAGCAAAAGTTCCGTTTTGAATCGATCTTGCAGAGCTGTCACCACATATATATATAAGAAAAAGCCTAAAAGAACATCGGGACAAACTCAAGAATCTACCTGCAAGAGAGAATATAAAGACTTGCACCAGCCCATTCACCAAGGGTATTGCACTTGGAACATTAAGCAAATTGATGTTATGATCAGCATCAAGAGCTTCAACAAGCTTATTGGGTCTGTTCTATAATCTCAACTTATGGGGCTTATATTATGCCCACAAAAAAATTGTTCAGTTTTCATACTGATTCTTCATACATGCCAGTCTTGTAGAACGAATTTGAATAAGTTTGTTTGTCATAAAAGTTCAAATTCATATATGTAACCCCTCTTTCATTTATGCGTCTAGCTTTCAAAATTCTAAGAAATTTCTGTTTGATATATTAGAGAGCAACCAGACCATTTTCAACACCTAACCCATACAAAACACCAGAGCATACTTCTGCAACGGACCAACGAAAAGTTTCTCCTAAAGCTGAATCCTATTTTTTATTTGATGTTTCTACTCTGCTGATTCGGATTTTTTTTTGTTCTCCACAAGTTTTGTTGTTTCTGTCTTCTTAATAAGATCTCTTTTTTTTGTTGTTACAATTTTCTTTTTTGCATTATTCCTAAAATAATAAATTAGGTAATAATATTTTTATATAAATTTAACTGCTAGGGTTTTGATAAACTGTGTCTGTGGTTTAGAACACACTCACAAACGTCACCTAGAAACTGCAAGAACATTGTTGTTGATAGTTGGAAACAACATAGGTTCTTAAATTATCAATTTCCTAATAAAACGACCACGTTTTCATTCTTCCTCCAGCGTCTCTGCTTCCTGCAACACAATAACACGACCACTTTGATCACATTTATTATTCTTTACAAGCCCACTGATGCAATGATGCTACTAGAGACTCCACTTTATGTCTTTAACCGAAAGAGAGATTCATTAGCCAAGTTATGACATTAAGCAAAACATATGCTAATCTTAAGATTCTTTATTTTCTAGGAGAAAATGCTGCAAACTTGAGGAATTTAAAAGATTTGAGTTACCTATTCACTTTCGTTTGCGTTTGAGATTCTTGAGATTCTTAATCTGCACCGTCATGTATTCGATCACTTCTTTCAGTGTTGCCTTTCTTGTCTCTTTAAAATTCCACAGTGCTGGGACTGAGTAGCGTCCACTTGGGTTATACTCATTCAGCTCCTCCAGTGCTGTCTTAACTGCCTCCAACACTTCTTCACCCCACTCTTCTCTCAGGCTCTTAAGTTGCTCATCTTCTTCATCCACCACCTCCTGCACCAGTGGAAGATGAAGATTCATAAAATGGGACATATGAGACAGTGGGAAAGGAATCTCGATGGAGCATGAGACATAATAACTAACCTTCATTTTGTCTTCAGTCCCCACGCGTTTGAATGGATACCATCCTGAATCCTTGAGGCTTTCCTGCCATTTTGAGCAAAGCATGGCGTACTGCATATCAGCTTCTTCGCCTTTGAATCTTTCTCTGCATGCTTTCATGAATGGCTTTTCATCAAGTTCTCCCAACCGCTTTATTCTGATGTTGGTTCGATCACTCAACATTCCTGTCAATCCCTGACAAAAAAAAAAATCCAGATTTACATGCAAACACTTAATCACTCACAGCTAAGATCTCACAATGGTTGTTTCCAACTATTCAAAGATTCTGGACTATATATAATGATGGAAGCATTAAATGTACATACCTTAATCAATTCTTGACGTGCTTCTTGTATCTCATCATTGCTTTGCCTTTCTTTTATCATGAGGGCGGAGTTAGTATCCTCAAGATCTTGCAACTCAGAGCACTTCTCCTCCAGCTCTTCATTCATCTCTTTCATTTTCTTCTTAACGTCCTCATCATCTTCATCTTCCCCCTGCTTCATGACTTTCAGCTTTCCTTTTAGCTCTTGAATCTCCATTTGAAGTTTCTGCTTGTCGTTTAACTCCTTCTCAAGCTTACGGATCTTCTCCAACGCCTCCTCTTTTTTCCTCTGAATTCAGCAAAGAGTAATTTTCAATCTTCTAACACAAACACAGGCAATTCATATAGAACATACCTTGTGTTCTTCCACAAGTTTCAGTACACGATCATCCGTCCTTTTCTGCTCAAGTGAAGCTAACTGGAGAGAGGAGTTCACGGCATCGTTCTATCACAACAAGACAAAACAAAAAAGATCATCAGTAATTTAGTAGCCTGTAAAAAACATAAACGCATAAGTATATACTATAATGACTAACTATTATTTACCTTCTTCTTCTCTTCCTCAAGCGTTTGTCTCTCCAATTCAGTTAACGCTTGCTTCTTGTCCAATTCTTTGGACCAAGTACTCAGATCCTTCATCCTATACTCCAGTTTCCTGCTCAGCATCTCTTTCTCTTTTAAGATCCTGTCGATGTTGTGCTGCGAAAGCTCCCGCATCCTTTTTGTTTCTGGATATAAAAAAAGTACACAAACCTAAACTCACAGCCAGAGGTTGGAAACATAAAATCAATCAACTTTCAGTAACAAACCTTCTTTATAAGTTTGGTCCAGCGTGTCTTTTTGCATGAGAACCCTCTTCAGAGAGATGGTCTTCTCGTTATACTTGTACTGGACCTTGTTCAAATCCTCATTCTTCATTTCAATCTTGTTTGCTAGATCATCCACAACAACATTAGATTTCTCCATTTCCTCCTTGGAGATCTCAGAGAAGCTTCTCAGTGTCCCTACCGTTGACAGATACTCAGCTACCGACCCTTGAGAGTTGTAATCATCAGCACGCGCACACCAACCATAAGTCCTAAACCTCCAATCTCCTGTTCTACAATTCCACTCCTTCTTACCACAACGCTTACTCTCATACTCCTTCTCAAGCTCAGCAGCCCTCTTGAACCCACTCATACCACTCTCGAACTTAGTGATAACAACAACTACCTCATCCTTCTCAACCCAAATCGTCTTCACCTCCAGAGGATAAAACCTCGCAAGCTTCTTCAACCAATACGCTGAATCAATCACCAAATCCTTGTCATCATCACCTCTCACAGGGCACATAACAATCCCCATCCAAGGCCAGACATAAACATCATCCACAACACCTTGGCTCTGCTTCCCCGAGTACAGAGTAAGCTGGAGCCGTGGAGGCTCAGCATCACCAGCAAGCTCCTTCTTGAGATACTTTGACAAGGCTAAATGATTAGCCTTCTGTTTACCGTTTCTAGTGGCGGAACCTTTAGCAACACCAGTGGCGTGAGCAAGAAGCTCCTTGTACTTGTAGTGTTGCTTCTTCTTGCCAGCGCAAAAAGGGCACTTGAAAGTGTCTTCCTTTAGCTTAACTTTCAAGTCCCCGTCACGAAGTTGCTTGTATGGCTTCTCGGAGTAGTCAGCTATCTCAGACTCACTCACCTCTGACTCTGAACTGTTATCCATATCTGACCTGTAAACACAACACAGAGAGTTAGAAGACAAAAGATCTTAACTTTTCTAAAGGAGAAAACTTTAACAAGATTTTCAGGAGTAATTGAGAAAATCAAAACCCTAGAAAAAGCACAATGCAACTAAGGAAAGAGATGAAACCGTAATAAAGTGAGAATCGAGACGAAACCCTAAAGACTTACGAGAGGATCGCGGCGAGGCGAGAGCGAGAGAGAAATGTGATGACAGTGACAATTAGGAGTCAGCACGTAATAACGCGATTACGATTGGTGTCTGGCTTTTTTTTTTTCTTTTTTTTTTTGGGCAACAGGTGTCTATAGTTTTATTAATATCTGTTTTAGAGATTAATTAGTACTAGATTTTGTATAATTAATTCGTATTATATGGAAACACGTTTTCTTAATCCCGAGAGTGTGAAGCAGTACGGTTTAGGTCGATAGCCGTTGGCTGAGAAAACAAAAAGATTTTTTATCTGGTAGCCGCGGCCGCTGTTTCAGCGTCAGCGGCTACAAATTAAACCTATCATTACAGCAAATACACCGTTCGTGAAATTAATATCAGCTTCTTTTTTTTTTACGCTGCGGCAATCAATGTGGAGTAAAGGAACGCATAAAATTTAAGCGTCCAACTGCATTGACGCTGCGTTCAATTGGGAGTAAAAGAAACGCATAAAACTAACTGTTAGCGTCCACTTTAATTTTCCGTAATGGTTAATTTACCTTCGTCGTACTGTTATCTTTGCCGCTGACGCTGCTAGTAGCGTTCATGTAACGAACATGGTTGATTTTAAATTTTTTATCTTCTAATATTTTTTTTTAGTATTATAATATCATTTACAATATATTAAATAATCCTGCATTTAGTCAGCAAACTGAATTTCAGGAAATTATAGCTATGCATTTTAGGTTTTTGGAACTTGTTGATTGGTGGCTAAAGAAAATAAGTTGCTATATTGGAGAGATTGGTAATTGGATAACATTGTATATGGATGTTGTAGTCTAGATAACAGTCGGTAGTTTTATGTTAGCAAAGATAGTTAGGATAGCGTTGGACATCATTACTCGTTACTCGTTTTAAATTTGCTATTGGATTTGTATCCGTTTTAAAAATTTAAATATTGGTGTTGTGAAGACAAGTAACAAGGCGATAATCTTTATTATTTGCAAGATTAAGTCAAGTATCAAGTATTATAATGATTTTTTGTACTTGATTCATTACGTCCCGTTACTTTCTCTATTACTTGTTATTTGTTACATGATTTATTAATTATTTGTTTATATTTGTCTTTTATTTTACTTGCATTTAGGATTGAACACAAATACTCATTACTCTTCTTATATTTGTTACTTGTTTTGTATCTATCTTGATTTTTAAATACTCGTCATCATCTAGTCAATTATTACATAGAAACAAGTATTAAAAATCTAGTTATATGATTTGTTATTACATGTTACTTATTTAGAAAAAAAACATTTTTGTTATCGGTAAAATTATACATTATTTATATATCGTATTATGCATTTTTTTTATTTGTCTTCTTTATAATGTGAACAAATATTTCGTTTAAAGTAATTTACATGCTGCTTTAAGTAAAATAAACAAAATAAACTTTCGTGACTATTTCTAATAGAGAATTATTAAGTAAATAGCTCTTAAATATTTGGAAAAAAATCGTAAATAGTTGACAAGTACTCGTAAACAATAAGTAATAGAATAAGGTAAATAATTTGTAAAACATTCATTTTTGATCAAATACTCGAAATAGCAAGTGCTCGTTTTTAATAAGTTAGGTACAAGACAGAAATTTTATTATTCATATAAGGTAAGTTAAGTCACAAATACATGCAAAATACCAAATACTCATCTTGTACTCAGTCCTAGGTTTTGAAATTAATGCTGAAAATTTTAGTGTCTACAGTAAGGTGTGCAGTTATATGTTACAGAAATTGTTAGAGATGTCAAAGTTGTTAATTGATATTACTATATCACATCTACTTACATTATCATTGGGAGCAATACAAAACAACCGCTATTGATGTGACATATGTTATTAGACGTTATTTATATTGGATAACACACCATTTTTCTCAGACGCATTTTTTTTTTTGATGCTTTTTATTTTACCCAAACGAATGATACATATTCAATGATTCATACAAACACAAATTAATTTATAAACATAAACTGGAAATATAATGAGTGAATGGTCGTATTTACGAACGGGAAGATCCAACTACACCGTCTTTTCCCACTTTTTTCTCTCCTTTTTTAACCACGTCTTCCATATGAACATCATCCTCAACAGATAGCACCACTGCCTCTGGTCCATGAGGTCCCTCCACTATAGCTTCCTTCATTTTATAGTGCTCATCGACACGAACTATCTCATTTTTCTCAGTGTTCTTCTTCCATTTCTTCTTGATCATGAAACAAATGACAAACGCTAGAAACGCCAAGAACATAACGCAACCTAGAGACACAAAGACAACTACGACAGTCGTATCATGGTTGTCTGGAGTTGGTGTCGGGCGGTTAATAGCGTCCATTGAGGCCATTGATGTGTGAGGCTGAGGTTTTTTTTTTTTTTTTTGAGGTGGTTATAGTTTGAGGAAAATGGAAATTCAAGTTCATTATTTTATAGGGAGGATTGAGAACAGTACGTTGCTGCTAAGTTTCTGTAACTTGGCTCACATCCTAAGATTTTGTCTGGATTATAAAACACTTCTAAACATATAATTTATATTATACTAATATATTAAAAACAAGACTTCCAGAATTATTCCCTTCAAACGAAGGATATGTAAAAAACATGCAAAGGCAATTCCTAGAACCGGAAGATAAAATCTGTTAACACAAGTAGAAATCCGGAAATATAAATACACTCATCAATGATTTATATTTTGATAAAATGTATAACCTTTAAATTATATTATTACTAAAATAACAATTGATGCTTTTTCAGAGGATACATCACAAGGTAACAAAGCTTAAAATGGAGTTTAGTAAAAAGGCATAACCTCTATCTATCTAAGAACTAGCAACACTTAAATCAACTCCCACTCCACTTTTGATCTTCTCCATCTCATTACTCAGTACTTCCTTTACTCTGCTCTTTAACTGCAAAGCCATGTAGAAAAACAGATCACTCAAACACACACTCTCTTGCTTTTCTTTCTTTTTGTGTGCACATATCATAAGATTTCTGGTAAGGTTTCACATACCTCACTGAGTCCTTGTTCTGTTTTCACTGAGACATGAAATGCTTCATCAGGCCCTGTTTCCCTGTACTTAATGATTTCTTCTTCATCATTGCTTCTATCTTCTTTGGCATATATCACTGGAGAGCCGCCTCCAAGCAGATCGCATTTGGAAACAACATCAATCCACAGGTAATCCTTAAACCGTTCTTTTATTTCTTTATAAATCCTAAACTGCAATGCCCTCAAAACAAATACAGAACTGAATGAGCAAAGTATTAACCAGACACAATTGCTTGTCTCACACACATGTTTTTTCTTCTACAGATCATTTAAATAAGATAACTATGCCCCCATGTTGTACACTAAGAATTTGTTTACCTGATCAGAAGGTGAAGTCCCACATTCTCCAGTTAGATCATGAACATATAGAACCGCGGTTGGAAGATGAGTGAGTACAGCAAGAGTAAGCTTTTCTAGATTATTTCTATCCTCTGTCATGACCCCAAGAAAAACACAACAACAATCAAATGTGATAAAATAAGACATACACAAGCACAAGAGAGTTAAGTAGTAACTAGACTTTACCATCACATCTCCTGAGAAGCCCAGGGGTGTCTGTCACCTGCAATGAGTCTCTGGATGATTAACAATCCAAATCATGAGGAACGTGATTAGATGAAACAAAGCAAGTAACATGAAACCTGAAACCGTTGGTAGTTCAAAATGACATGGCCCATCAGAATCCCTCTGGTGGTGAAAGGATAATTACAAATCTGACAATCCGAAAAAAAAAAAAAATTCATATAAGGAATACAAGTTAATATCAAACTAATATGAAGACTGGGACATAATCCAAACCTCAGGCTTCCCTGTTGAAAGAATGCGAACCAACGATGATTTTCCAACGTTTGGTGCTCCGACAAGGCAAAGGGTTGGCATTTCCAAGTCAACAACTGGCATAGCCCTCAAAACCTACAAGATGCTTAACTCTATTCATACAGTTCTTATGATTAAGTCAAACAAAAGGGTCAAACCATTGCAAGAGAAAAAAAAAAAAAACCTTTGCTATGCTTAACAAATCATCAACAGCTCTTCCTTCTTGCTGGAAAACCAATTCAAGCTTCTCCACACCTTCGTTTAACCGATCCTCTGCTTCTCGCTTTGATAACGACTGCAAACAAAAGAAGAACAGCAAAAGATCTTTATTAGCTTTTCGTTTAACTGATAAACGATAGAATAAGACAGAACAATGGGAATTTTAAGAAGCTTAGCGTTGCTATACCTATATGAGATCAACTAAGCATGAAAATACAATAATCTTATTTTCCACAGGATTGAGGAGTCTAACCTTAGCACAGAGAGAAGCATGTTCCTTTCCAACAGATAACACCTTCTTCCTCAGAGCATCAACTTTTCCCAACACCTAAAGAACAGCTTAACTTATAAGCCAATCAGTTGCAGGGTAATGCTGCTAAGTGACTTAGAGGGCATATGAATAATAAAGATACCTCCTCGTATTTTCCATCACCAAGTGTCAACTCAATAAGAGACCGCTCATAAGGATGCAACAGTCTCCTCCTCGGAAAACTCTCCATGTATCCTTTTAAAGGTACAGCCAGTTCCTTTTCAAACAAAGATCAGTTAGACAAGAATCATTACAGAATCTCTCAACCAAAAGGATGCCACTTACTTTCATGAATGCATCAAGCTGTTTAGCACCTCTATTTCTCTCTCTCTTTGCAATATTAGCTATGCCTGAGTGATGAGAGCAAAACATGACCAAGACGTAGTTAAAAGAGTTGGAAAAGAGTCAATGTTATGCACAAAAGGAATCAAGTAACAAACCTTTAGTTGGTTGGACTCTTTTGGACTTCCTGAGTGCAGAAGCGTACAAATCAATAGATGGCATCACCATGGGGAGTTTCTGAAAAGCACCTAAACTTTCCTGCACTGGTGGCCCTTGTTTTTCCTGCAATACCCAACATTCGTTTTGGATTAAAATTCAAAACTTTAACCTAAAGATAGAGACTTTGAATGTAAACAAGGGTTCCAAAGGTGGGAACTTTATACCGGGGAGGTAGGGGGTTCAATCTGCTTCTGAGTGATGTAGGAAGTGGGCAAGTAGCTTGAAGTGACGACTGGTGAAACAGCTGTCTGAAGGTTCCGATATTGACGCAAGGTTGGAGACCAGAACGTGGGAGACTTCGTAGTACCTTTCGAGAAAATGAAGGATTGTAGACAAAGCTGTGGTGATGATGATGCTAAGAGACGCCATTGATTAGGAAACAAGCTCGACGCCAATTTCATCGTCTCTTCTCTCTGAGTCTGAAAATAAACAAACAAATAGATGTCTTGCACATTTGAGTATTGGATTCAGAGATAACCAAAATGGTTTTGGGTTCATGGTTCGACCAAACCAGCCGGACGCGCATAATCGTCGGCGTCCATGAAAACAACGGTCTGGTGTATTGGGCCTGTATCATGTCAATTAATGGACCTTCTATTGGTCCACTAGACTAACTCTCAAGTATCTTTTTTTTTTTTTTATCAACACTCTCAAGTAACTCTTTGTGGAAATTCTGCAAAAAAAAAAATCACAATCCATTTAGCTATTTAGTAAAAGACTAATTTAGGAAGAACGTTTTTTTTCTTTTTTATTTATGAGGAGTATCCTGACTCCACTTATGTGATCCAAACTAGTCACATGGTAGATTTAAAGCCTTTGACGTGGCCTCGGTTTGAGTACTCTAGACCACGTGTTGTTCTCATCGGGTCGAAGAACCCATTTGAAAACCTCGGTGGCTAGTACGAATCGAACCCAGGACAGTACTTGCAGCTGCAAGCCGTTCACCACCAGACTAACGCGTCCTGGTTAGGACAAACGTATTACGTATGTGCATTAAACTGCCAATGAATCTTTCTCTCCGTTTAAAATATGACAGTCACATGGATTCGAACTTGCTAGCACTGCATCAATGGTCTGTAAATAATCAGGGGGGTTAAGAGGAAGGATAAAACTTTGCATCTATTCTTCTTATGACTTGTTAGTAACTTTTTTTTGTTTCTCCTAACTAAGCAATCTAACTAAACCCACATGTTAATGTCTATTCTTGAATCACTTTCTAACCCTTAATCTTAGGTTGGAAACTGAATACCAGTTGAACGTTCTAATGATAAATCATTATTTAAATTTCCAATACGAGGAGGAGCTTCAGAAGATGAGCGTTGATAAAATACAAAGCTTTAGATCCACTCGCTATGTAGTTGGTTACTCTGTTTGCATCACATGTGAATAATATATGCTCTGAAGCCAACGAAATCATTATGAAGCAAAACAATGCAAAATTGCAGTGGCGTTTTTCAAGTGGTTTGTTTTTAGACATACAGAGTTTTTAAAGGAAAATAGTAAAGTATCTCTGCTGAATGCTTCTAATTCATTTTGATGATGAGATCATTGATCTTGTCTTCACGATTTCCAGTATCTCCTCCTTCGCTGAAAACTTGTTTCTTCCCGTGCAAGACACCAGCCTCTGGCTTGTTGAGTTTCAAGGGTCCCAAGAATCTCATAACTTCTCTGAAATGATCACCAACTCTTGCTATCTCATTCACAATGTCTTCTATGCAAAAGATACCATGTTCTCCTAGAGCCTACGGTAAACATATAAGTTAAAAAAGGTTAGGGTCATTACCTGGTCAATATAAGCTATCCTATACTACGAATAGGAAGCTACTCATTACCTGTTCGATTATGTTGTTGTCGGTAAGAGGAACAGGATTGCCTTCTATTATTGTGTATCCCTTTTTGAAGATAAGGTCCTTAACGCTCTTACCATTCGGGTACCTGACAACAAACATTGGTTCAGAGCTCATCAAATGGAATGTTCACGGATTGAAAGGTAATTTTTGTTTATGTACCCATAAGTGACGTAAGGCTGCACTTTGAGAAGCTTTTGAAACAAACCATCAGTTGCTTTGGCAAATACACCAGAGAAAGTGCTCCTTAGTTGCATACTGTTAAGCACCTTCTTGGTCTTTGGGTGCATATCGTTCTTGCTGCTCACCAAAAAGAAAAGGGAGGAGGGAAATGTTAAAGATAAATTTCAAACGAGGAAGATAAATAAAAACCATTAAGAGAATACAAAGTACCCTTGTATGCGTATGATGAAAACGAGGTTTGATTTTACTGGTGGAGGAATTGCCCTTGGCCTCTTAACCCTCTGCTTCATCCGGATAAGATCTATTTCCTAATTGCCACACCAAGTAAAACAGTAAGGTTACATGTGCAAATTGAAACCAAAGGCTAAAAAGTGTATAACTTAGGTCAAAGACTAGATTCTAAGTTCAATGTGTGGATTACTAAACAAGACTTATAGAAGCATAATCAAGGTTCATATAAAAAATGGACTAGGACCAATGGTAATACCTTAGCCCTGAACTCAAGAACAAAGTCTTCAGGTCGTTTGATATCAGCAACTTTCTTCTTCTTCTTACCGAAATTACCCAACTCAAGTTGTTTCTTCCTGATAAAGGCAAGCTCATCTCTGTTCTTCCTCTTCTTAAGTATAACCTCAGGTATGTAGTCCAATCCCTTATTAGCTTCTTCTACAGCCATCACTTTAGGTTCTTCTACAGCCACTACCTTAGCTTCTTCTTCAGCCATTACTTTATCTATTCTTTCTCTCTCTCTACAAAAAAAAAAAGCAGATCTATGACAAAGTATTCAAAACAGAAGGAGCGTTAAGGTTAACGAGGGAAATAAGGAGAAGGAAAGCAACAAAATTTACCGGTGGAGACGATGCAATTGAACGGCGGCTGAAGAGATTATCCAAGTTATACGGCGGCAATATCGTACTTTTAGTGCGAGAACCGCTGTTTGAGATTTTTAGGGTTTATCAACTCTATGGGGAAGTCTCTGTGTCTGTGTTAAGACAGACCTAGTTACGGTCCGGGTACTATCTAGGCTCTAAACAAAATCATACATGGGCTTCACTATCTTTGCATGATAAGGCCCATTATTTCGAGATTTTAGAGCAGGAAAGAGATGAGCTTTAATGCAAAATAAATAAATCAGCAGAAAAATAAATGTGCATTAGGTGAAGTTGTTTATGGTTAATCAAAGGGATCAATTAGATGTTATGTTAAACTAAAAAAATAAGTAGAAGAAGAATAAACAGATTGTATTTGAAGAATTAAATAAATAAAGGGACAGGAAGAGTGTTTTTTTTTTACTAATTTATCATTCATAAAAATTAGAGATAAAAATATTTCTTCATAAACTCTTTCATACATGAAAAATGGAATAAAACGCATGCATCAATAGTTTTTATTAGAACAATTTATAATATTAAAACTGAAGTGCTAATGAGATTGTTTGAAAATATGGATAGCAGTATTAAAAAAATGTTTTGAAACATAGATAGAATTATTAGAAATGTTTTTAACCAAAATTATATCTTATTATTGGTTCGGAGTTACGGGAACATAACCAAAAATCTTTGAAAATTTCATGTATTTATAGAAAAAATCAGGACTACACTAAATCATAATAATTCGTTTGAAGTATTGTTTTCACTTACTCATTAATTTTGAATTGTTTATATATAGTTTATATGCATTAAAAGTAAATAAAATATTATTCTAAGTAATAATATGGTGCTGGCTTAATTTGGCTTCTAATTTTGAGTATAGAAATAATGATTGCTTTACTTACTCATTATTTGAGTATACTATGTTTCGTTTATCCATCTGAAATGAACGTCACCTATATTCTAATTAGGTTAGAACTGACTACTTTGTATTTCATTTATTTTGATTTTATTTGATTTGAAATTAGAATTTTCTTTTCTTTTTAAAGACAAAAACATTTTTTGTGCAATTATGTTTTGCGTATAAAAATTCAAATATTTGAAAAAATTAAATATTATTCCTTTTTGTTAACAAGAAGAGTTATTTTTTTTATTTTACTATATAAAGTTTGGTTTTTAAAGTTTCTAATTATATATTTAATATTATGATGTCTGAATCTGAATTATGTGTATAAGAGAGAGATATAGGTGTGTCTGAATATAAATAATAGTTTAAAGGTATAACATTAAGTTTCAGCCTTGGAAAACATCTTCGTAAGAAATGGCTCTAATCTAGGTGGTCAATTTTCTTATAAAAATGTCAGGTCATTGTCACCGGTTATATACATGGAACAACACCAATAAAACGACGAGAAAACATGTGGCCCATTATAATGTTTGAGATAGACCGTAAAAATCCTATACAAGATGTAGAGAAAGAAAGAAAAAAAGTTAAATCATCGGAAATTCCATCTTATGTCTCTGTAACCTCTCTGCCACATGCCAGGTATTTGTATAAAAATACGAGGAAAAGAAAATTAAATTATTAATATATAAAAAATTGTATATTTATAGATATTGTCTTTTATTATTTATGTAGGTTTTGTATAAACTTAAAAATGAAAAGGAAATAAAAAAACCATAAGCCCAATTAATAATTTATTAAGTAAAAAGAAAATAAAAATAATTTCTTAATCAATTATGTATAATTTATAATTTGTTAGGCTTAATTTTGTAAAATATTCCTAACCTACATATGAATTAGCCTTTATTACATAGGAGTGAAGTCTGCAAACTATAGAAAATTGCAAATTAGGAAAAAGAAAAATACTTTAGAAAAAAAGGAAATTGCATGAACATTTTATAACAATCTGGTAACAAAAAAATTATTTTTCTATAACGTGGTTACAAAATATTAATAAAAAGAAAAGAAATATTCAATATTGGTAATTATAATAAATAATTTAATTCATTAAGAATATCAATGAAATTAATCATTGTTGCAGTTATCGTGAAAATGACACACATGAAATCCACTTCTTAGATAATATTATACAACTGTTTACCAAAAACTATATGCATTATTGTATAATATGTATTTATAATAGTTACATTTGTTACTTGACATTTCACGATAGCTCATAAACTTTCTGTAATGATATGTGACCATGTGGATGAGATGATCTACATGTGGTTTATTTGAGCGATGATGCTATATTTTCACTCTCTCAAAGACCAAAGCTTATACTTTATTGAGAGATATGGAATGTTTAATATATGGGACCTCAAAGCAGGGAAGTCAGTTTTCCATTGTGATTTACATGGACACAGTATAACTCTATAGACTTCGACCCACAAAATCCCAATGTCATGGCTACAAGTTCCACCGGTGGGATTGCTTGCCTTGGGACTTGAGAAGCATGAGATCAAAGAAACCCGGAAAAAATTGACAATTGTGAATCATTGTGAGACTGTGGACTCTGCTTATTTTCCACATTCTGGTTTTTCACTTGCAATTACAAGGTAATCGTGTAATAGTTGTTGGGCTTCGTCCAAATCCATATCCAACTCTTTAACGAATGATTAGTATAATATTATCCACTTTGGATCCGAAGGCAAAGTCTGCATGGATTTGATTTTGGGCTCCTTTCCAAAAGGTATCGTACTAATCTGAGTTGGACATATCTTTATATATTAGACATTATTTGTCTAAATTTCCAATATGAAACTTTGTTTGCATTCACAACAAACCTCCTCTCAAACCAAGTACTACACAAATCCTTGGTTTCCAACCTCCAGCGAAATCTGATACACATCTTATAGATTTGATTTTGGGTTCCTTCCCAAAAGGTCTCGTATTAATCTGAGTTGGACATATCTTTATATATTAGATATTATTTGTCTAAATTTCCAATATGAAACTTTGTTTGCATTCACAACAAACCTCCTCTCAAACCAAGTACTACACCAATCCTTGGTTTCCAACCTCCAGCGAAATCTGATACACATCTTATAGCGTTGTAATCACTAACATGCACTACAAGAAAACACGTCCTTTACTAGGACGGGTTTTCCTCGTTATTTCCTAGTAAAGGGCCCTTTACTAGGAAATAGCGAGGAAACGTGTTTCGTCGAAAGACGTTCATCGTAAAGGCTATTTTCCTCGTAAAGGCCTAGCTAATTTACGAGGAAAGTTTTCCTCGTAAAGCCGTGGAAAACATTTCCTCGTAA